CCAATGAAGCAGATATAGTGGAATGTCTTTAAAAAAAATTGAGAAGGTTAATTGGCTTGAAAAAAGGATTCACAGAATGAAAAATTAAAAGAATGTATTTTGTTTGGTGAAAATTTGTCTGAAGTGCTACAAGTGCGATAGGGATGAAAGTCCGCTTACAGCTTCTATTTTGCATTAGATAATTTCATCTGTCAACATGGGTTGGGGAGCACTACTATAAAGGTTGGTGAACCCTAATTCTGAGTCAACAAAATTAGGTTTTTCCTGTGTGATTAGCTCATGAAAATCTAGGGCGAATGAATACACTTTCTCAGTTTAAAATTTAAACCCCCAACATTTTTTGCAGCAACATTTTTCTAAAATTCAGTACTATACAGTTGAGCCTGGATATCTCAAACCTCCATTTCCCGTTTCCCTGGGTTTGAGGGCAATGTTTTGCGTAATGACCCGTCTTTTGACAATGAAAACACACAACCAAAGAAATGTCGTTTCCTCGCGAGTTCGACGATGAAAAAGTCCCCGTAGCCGGTTTGGCACCCGAATTGTCCGACGATTGTTGCTTCATGAAAATCTAGGGCGAATGAATACACTTTCTCAGTTTAAAATTTAAACCCCCAACATTTTTTGCAGCAACATTTTTCTAAAATTCAGTACTATACAGTTGAGCCTGGATATCTCAAACCTCCATAAGTTGAATACCACTCTATATATCGAATTTTTTACCCCCTGCCTAAATTCTCTTAGAAATAATGCTTTGAAAAATCTAAAAAAATAACCACTCAAAGACCTTCCTCCCTCAAACCTTCCTGACTTAAATTTTCAAGATGGACTTTAACTATTATCTTACAGTATTTACACAGGAAAGGAAAATAAATAAAATATATCAATGTGCTTTGAAAGAAAGTTAAAAATTTGGCCATGAACTGCCCAATTTCCCACAACCTTTTTTCTGCCTGATTCCACTTCACTTTCTCTTATAGATAGGCTAGAAATGTTTTTAATTCAATTTTTAAAATAATGTAAATAAGAATTAGTTTGATTTCCAAAAATGCGCACGAGGCAGGTTCCATCTCATTTTGTGTTGAGAGTGCGTAAAATTTCTGAAAACAATTCTGCCCTACTCATTCTTTTGGCATAATTTGAATCTTGTGAGTGAGATGTGAACTTGAACATTCATTTTCATTAAAATAAAGTGTTAGAATGTCGACTGGAAGAAAATATCTAAAATAAAAAATTGTTCTTTGAATATTTTTGACACGTTTTTTATGAAAAGAAAACCTGTTGAAATAGTTAAGCCCATACAAAGCAGTGCATTTCTCAAGATATTCTCACTGCTGGGGGAAATTGAATTAATTTAGAAGCCTCTGAAAAAATTTCCATTTAAAATATTTTCAAACATATTATTGAGTACTGATGTATGTTCAAAAAATTGGAAAATCAAATTTCCTAAGGTTTCTTGGATTTTCATTCTTGAAAATACGTTCTAGACCATGAAATCAAAGACATTCGACTGTATTCGAAAAAAATTTTCTTCCGTCGTTGAACAGTACTGTAAAGCATGCCATTGATTACACTGCACAAATGTTCCAGTCAATTCTATCATGCGTTTCCCTCACTGACCCCGTGTCACGTGGACGAAACACCGGGGATTCTTTGTCAAAATTATTCTCATACAAAAGCGCAGCTGGGTCACGGTATTGTATACTATGCAATGAGAATGCATGTCTTGCTGTGCAGGCAGTCATCATAACGTCCATAGTATTGTCTTTCACAACATATGACAGTTTTCCCCATGGGAGTCATGTGCTGCTGTTCGTTATAGTAAATGGCTCTTCAGTTGCCTTCCTCTTGCGTGATATGAACTGGATTTGTGGTTATGGCTCAAGACTGCTTCTGCATCTGTTCAACCGTTGAAGGAAATTTGATTCGTTTGAGATTATGCATTTGCGGAGTAGAAAGGGTGAACGGTTAGTTTTCGACCTATATGAGACTAAATGTTCAGAGAAAATTCAATGCAATTTAAAAAAGACGGGTTGACATTCATGTATTATTATTCAAGTTATCGTTCAAAACGTTTATCTAACACAAAAAGGATTATCGTATTCACTGTATACGCATTTACTGCATTTCCGTTATATATGGCGCATATACCGTAAGGTAAGCGCATGAATAAATCGCACATTTCAGAAAGACACCGCATCTCAAATTCAATTTTTTTTGGAAAAAAGTATGCTAACGTAAGATATGCACCCCATTTTTTCAAAAAATATCTTGAGAAACTCGTGTGTGTAAAACTAAGGTAGACCATAGAATAAAAGATCAACTAATTTAAATTAGCTCATATTCGTTTTATATTTGAAATTTTCGTAAAAAGTACACTGCTTTTGCGAGTTAAAATTTGAAAAGAGTGGCCAAAACCAGTTAAGGGATTCATTTAAATTACAATTGCACTGAAACTGTACACGCTTATCAGTTTGAGAAAAAAACTTTATTGCACCTTTCATCTACTCATAAATTCAAAGTTTTACCACTTGACTGCTTCAATATTATTGAATTTAGTTTAGTTGATGATTTACACGAGAGGCATCAAAAATTGCGAACAACTTTCTACGTGGATATGGCTCACCCTATTTTCGTCTTGGAATTTTTGTGGGAAATGTGAGTTTCAGGAAAAATAGTTAATGTCATTTTTAAAAGTGAAAAGCTTTTCTTTGGTAACATTAAATCTTTCACGTAGAATCAATCTCGTTACAACGAATGATCGATTGCAACGCAGTAGATTTTTAGGTCCCCCACCATAATGATTTACCGTATGACGATTTTTTTTTCTTCCAACGAAACTATTCCACTGTTCCCAACGACTTCGTTGTAACGAGATTTTACTGTACTAACCCAGCTGATGTGGCTCGAGGGTGAAAAGAGAGGAGTCATATAAATAAATGCGCTGATAATTCTTTAAGAAGGATCGTACATTTTCAAAAAAATATCTTCTGTGACACTTTCTGACTTTAATTTTGAATTTTGAAGGAAAATCCCAATCAGCGCACTTTATTTTTTTACAGAAAAACTCTCATTACCGAAAAAATAGCAGGAAGGCTGATTCGAATTCATCAGCATTTCGAAAATCGCCTAACCATTTCCGCCAGCCTTTTTACGCATATTTTGAAGAAGTTTAGCAAAACTATTTCGGAAATAACAACGTAATGAAATAAAATGATTGTGAACCATTGCATGAAACAAACATAAACTCAAATCATCCCTTGATAAGTGCTGGAAAGTCGCTAACATCATGGGCTCGTCCGCATCCTCTTTTCAGGTTCGTCCACGGAGCAATTTTCCCTCGGATTCACTATACACGTACCCATGAGAGAAAAAAAAATTCTGCAGTACCAGGAAATGCAAACACAAATCCCGACGTTATTTCGCTAGTATTTACAGAAGTACTCGAGCACCTGTGACGTGTAACTGTCATTACTTTTCCCTTGATTCGGTCAATTGACCGCGGATGAACCACGCGCTGCGCGTGGACAAACTTTCATCGCATTCAGACGCTACCTCTGATGATGAGCTTCGAGATGCTCGTGGAAGAATAAATATATTTCCGGCGGATATGTTTTCACCAGAAAGGGGTTCGTTAAAAGTTGGACACTGGCTATATACGGAAGGTTTGCAATCGGAAGTTTCTGCCGCACTTTTCCCAACTGCCATTTCTTGCCATTTGCTGACCGCGCATTACGTTGAAGACCACGTACGAGTTTGATGTCCTATTCGGAAATTTCAGTGCTGATGAAATGTTTTGAGAAAGCTCAGCACAAGATTGTTTTAGGTATTTGAAAATAGCTGATTTCCCTCACACTGCGCTGGAGTGATTGGAACATATGGAGAATTCCACGAAATTTGGAATTGCATTATTGTGCAGAATAATGATTGTACGGATAAGCTGATGCTGGCGAATATTCCTAAGGATAGATTTCACTAACTCTCATTGTATTTCTGCATAGCACGTATTTTGCTACTGAGAACGCCACTCTTCGACTCATGACACTTTGAGTCGAATTCCTATGAAACGCATTAGCTGAAATAATTTATTTATTTGAATAAAAAAAACGTGATTTAAAATTTGATCCCTTTTCCGCATGTCCACTTTCATCGATTACTATGCTCAGCAGACGTATGAAATGCAATCAACTTTTATTTGAAAGCTAGTGAAATTTCGTGTGCTACATGATGAGCTCTGTATTTCTGCGTTGCTATTTTAAATCACGTAGTCATTTTTTAAATGTCTTCAGGCGTCCGACTTTCAGCGAGCTCACGATTTTGAAAATCAATAAAAAATGTGCCCTAATAAATCTCGAATCAAAAGAAGAATGTATACTGAGTCATCGACATTTTTAAAACATCAGGGGTAAAGTGAAAATATGCGTTCATTCTTACGGAAAATCGGGCTTAATGTAACATTTAAAACCAATCTTCTCTACCTAAATATTCTAAATTTAGGTTTTAAAAATGGTATGACTCATGACCATACGCAGTATATAGCATGAAAAGCAATCGTTGAATATTATATTCGGGATCAAAACACATTAAATTTACAAATGCCGTCTTCCTGACGTGAATAACTTTTCGCAGACTCAGTGACATTCAATTCAGGTGATTCCTGACTTTTCTAGTGTCTTATATGTTTGTTCAGTTATTCCACAGGCATTCCAATATACAGTACGGTACTACAATTTACTGCATGAATCATTCAAATGGCGTTATCATAATAGAATTCCTCGCAAATAGGGCGTCGAGTCTCCTAAAAAGAGAAACTATACGTACTTTGTAGTATGCACACGTGTGAGAATTAGATTACTTCCGATTTTCGCGGCACGGATAATGGGCTCTCTGACATGAGAAAATGGGATGAGTCTCTTTCGACAATAACACGCGTCATCCATTTCCGATTTTTTTTTTCTGTTTCCATGTACTTTACCGTATATATTATATACGAACAATACTCACCATGATTCTTCGTTACCGTCCTTTTCCATGTTGTTGGTGGTCTCTCGCATCCAAGTGCTGCGTTTGCTGTCCATGCTCTTGTCTCGTCTCGGCATCGAGGAACCACGGCACGAAACGTACATTTCGTGGAACTCTTTGCGGAAATTCTCGTTGAGGTATCCGTAGAGGATCGGATTGATACACGCTGATATCATGCCGGTCATGTGGCAAAGAGCGAAGATGGTGAACTTGGTGGCTCGATTCGGGTATTTGATCACGTCGAAGTCGTCCAGAATGTTGACGACGTTGAGTGGCAGCCAGCTGATGCAAAATGCCAACGCCATCGACGCCAGGAGTTTGTTGGTGCGCGAAATTTTCTGATCTTCCATCTGCTGTTGGAGTAAAAAAAAAATGATTTCACTAACTCTCATTGTATTTCTGCATAGCACGTATTTTGCTACTGAGAACGCCACTCTTCGACTCATGACACTTTGAGTCGAATTCCTATGAAACGCATTAGCTGAAATAATTTATTTATTTCAATAAAAAAAAACGTGATTTAAAATTTGATCCCTTTTCCGCATATCCACTTTCATCGATTACTATGCTCAGCAGACGTATGAAATGCAATCAACTTTTATTTGAAAACTATAGTAAAAATTTCGTTTGCTAGATGATGAGCTCTGTATTTCTGCGTTGCTATTTTAAATCACGTATTCATTTTTTAAATGTCTTCAGGCGTCCGACTTTCAGCGAGCTCACGATTTTAAAAATCAATAAAAAATGTGCCCTAATAAATCTCGAATCAAAGAAGAATCTATACTGAGTCATCGACATTTTAAAAACATCAGGGGTAAAGTGAAAATATGCGTTCATTCTTACGGAAAATCGGGCTTAATGGAACATTTAAAACTACTCTTCTCTACCTAAATATTCTAAATTTAGGTTTAAAAAATGGAAAGAGTCATGACCATACGCAGTATAGCATGAAAAGCAATCGTTGAATATTATATTCGGGATCAAAACACATTAAATTTACAAATGCCGTCTTCCTGACGTGAATAGCTTTTCGCAGACTCAGTGACATTCAATTCAGGTGATTCCTGACTTTTCTAGTGTCTTATATGTTTGTTCAGTTATTCCACAGGCATTCCAATATACAGTACGGTACTACAATTTACTGCATGAATCATTCAAATGGCGTTATCATAATAGAATTCCTCGCAAATAGGGCGTCGAGTCTCCTAAAAAGAGAAACTATACGTACTTTGTAGTATGCACACGTGTGAGAATTAGATTACTTCCGATTTTCGCGGCACGGATAATGGGCTCTCTGACATGAGAAAATGGGATGAGTCTCTTTCGACAATAACACGCGTCATCCATTTCCGATTTTTTTTTTCTGTTTCCATGTACTTTACCGTATATATTATATACGAACAATACTCACCATGATTCTTCGTTACCGTCCTTTTCCATGTTGTTGGTGGTCTCTCGCATCCAAGTGCTGCGTTTGCTGTCCATGCTCTTGTCTCGTCTCGGCATCGAGGAACCACGGCACGAAACGTACATTTCGTGGAACTCTTTGCGGAAATTCTCGTTGAGGTATCCGTAGAGGATCGGATTGATACACGCTGATATCATGCCGGTCATGTGGCAAAGAGCGAAGATGGTGAACTTGGTGGCTCGATTCGGGTATTTGATCACGTCGAAGTCGTCCAGAATGTTGACGACGTTGAGTGGCAGCCAGCTGATGCAAAATGCCAACGCCATCGACGCCAGGAGTTTGTTGGTGCGCGAAATTTTCTGATCTTCCATCTGCTGTTGGAGTAAAAAAAAAAAATCGTTCGTTCATTTTGCTTTGTTTTTGTCCCGTCCCCCCCCGGGCATACACTCTTTTTGAGACAGAAAATGCCCTCTTTATCATCCCCATGCCGTCAGCAAACAGCGAGCTGCTGATGGACTATATATATATATATGAGTTTGCAGCAAACAAAATTCAAATTGCATCAAACGTCAAGCTATGTAGGGTTTATATCCTTGACGAGTAATATGATATTGAATAATGTATATCCACTGCTTGTTGACAAAGTTTATAGAGCTGAAAGGCAACTTGCGTTTTAATTTTGAACCCTGGGACGAAAGTGATGCGCATTTCTGATCTGTATGAGTTTGAACGCAAAATATTAGCACATCCACAAATTTATACGGGCTTTCGATGTTTATTTTCTTTGAACATGTTTTTTAGAAAGGCGGGTTTATGCAAATAACAAAGATCTCCTATCATCGTATTAGAAATTTATTCATGAATGGAGTGCCGAGGAAGAGCTCTATAATACAGCGTAATGCAGAGGTTGACTGATTGATTGATCAATCAACCTCTGAATTAAACGGTAAAGCTCTTCCTAAATCACGCTCCATTTACAGTTTAATTCAGATGTTGATTGTTTAATAAATCAACCTCTGCATTAAACTGTTAAGGTCTTCCTCAACACTCCATTTATGAATGCGTTTCTAATATGATGATGGGAAAGCTGTGCAATCTGCATAAAATTGCCGTACGAAGGAAAAAAATTGCAATGCAGAGGTTTATGTAGTTTTTGCGGGGTATACTGTACTGTACAAAAAATGAATCATGAAAATGTAGCAGACGCTCAATCACCCGGAAAAATGTCGGGTTGTCTTCCACGGAATAATTGAATGCATAGGAAAACCGGAAGTTATTTGACAATGAAAACAAGAATTCGAAGACAACCTCAAACGATGATGACAATATTCCCACGATGAGTCGTAATGAGCAACACATTTCCCAGTTGCTCTCGTGACTTTTTTTTTAGAAACGTTTCTGATTTGTAGCTATCACTTTCTCGTGGAAACAATCACAGAGTGAGCAAAAATAAAATAGAGGAACAAATGCTTCAAGATTCCGTGTATGAAAAATAATGCACTGTACTGTACTTCCATACGCAAAAAAAAAAACTTGAAAGGTGAAAAAGACACATTCCTTATAAATTGAAATAGAGTCGTTTTGCCTCCGAGGTTCCGAAAACTGTGGCGCTTATTTCACTCAATATTCTGGGATCTTTTCTTTTTTCATTCAATTTTTGTCACGCAGCCCTTGCAAAATTTTAAAAATCTTTTAAAATACACACGAATTATTGCTATGGCGAATTGAAAGTTATGCTTGTTTGATTATTTCCAAATCATATGAAGAAGTAATTTCAAGTAACGGAAACCACCAGTACATTTGAAATCCTTGAAAGAAATCGGATGGTGAATTATTCTACGGGTATATGCGTACTGAATTGAAACCAGAAGAATTTGCCTAATTTGAAATTGAATTGACTGCGATTTTATTCATTTTTGCTGTCACATTATACATTCATCTATTTGTCACATAATACATATACAGTAGATGAATCCTACAGAAGATATTCTGAAGATTGGTCCATTGTTTTCCAACCCTATTCATATATATATATATATATACATTCCTAATGTCTTGTCGCCCCTCTGATGTTCATATCATGTCAAAGAAGAATGTATACGAATTTCCCTGCAGAACACATGTCATTCCAAGGAGAACAAGGGCTCATATATCGAAAAATTTGCGAACTGTTTTTCATCCTCACATCCACTTGAAACAAGGGCATGTATATAATATGAAATGTATATATGCATTATGATGGAATGGGTGATGCCCGATTAATCCAGTCACTATACCAAATGCTCAAAAATGAGATACATACTGCTTTTCGAGTTGACGACGTCTTGTTCATGATTTTCGTTCCCAGTCGGTTTCGAAGCTTGACGCAAATCTTCTTGTAAGCCAGGGACACGGTCGTTATCGGGATGATGTAGATGAAAATCATGGACGCTGCTGAATAATACCGGCCTCCCAGAGGATGAGACCATTGTTCCATGCACAAAGGAATCGTGTCCAGTTCCGGCAGCTTCACGTCAAAGACATGCAAGCGTCTGGAAAATGAAATCATCGCTTGAGTCGTTGCCCGTGGTTGGTATGAATTCCCAACCCCACCAAATTGGAGAAAAAAGGGTTCAAGCCCCACCGCCCTCACGGAAAAATGGAGAGGCTGTAAACAGTGTAAAGTGTTGTTTTTTATCGAGGGCATCTAGAACAGGGTTCTAGAACAGGACCGGCGCCGCGGTCCGCAGAGGTTTTTTGGCGGTTCGCCGGAAATTTTCTTCAGCATAATAAATTGATCAAAGTAGCAATGAAGTCTGTTATCTTTATCTGAAACCTAAGAAAAAAATGGTATTTGAAATTATCTAAACATTCTAAAGAAAACTTAACGTAGCTTTTCTCTTAATTACACTTCAGAAAAGTATTCATATGCTGAAAGAAATTCTTGGAATGTTCTCAGTCAGAGAAGCCTTTCTTCAAGCCCACCTTTCTAATTTTCGCAAAAATGCTGAAACCTTTTCAAATTACTGCCATAAAGCTTTCTGCAAAAATGTTACAAAACTTTGGCAGTCCGCTAAGAGTTTTGGGAAATTTGTCGGTCCGCAGAAATTTTTCAGGCGATTTGCTGGTCCGAGGTCACAAAATGGTTGGGGAAGACTGCTCTAGAATGCAACGCGAAATATTTCTGCCATAACTATCGCATCTCATCTGACTGACTCGTCGTTTGGAAATGAATCTAGATTTCACCTACAATGAGTGTACTGTTGATCAAAATTACATGCTAGTTAATTTGATCGATCAAAACGCAAGGCTTGATTCTCCTCCTGCAGAAAAGCAAGTTTTCTGGCTGATACCTCCCTGTGTTCCTGTGGTAAATATCATGAAGCAGCTTTAATTGAAAATAAAATCCGTCTTTCAAATCCATTAGGAAAATTATTTTGAACTGAGGAAAGCCTGCGGGTCGGGATTAATCCGATACGGATTCCGGAAACATTTATTTATTTATTTTACTGTACATTAATTGGAGTACTTTCCAGAACCGCGTGCAGTACTTATTTACGAATACTGTCCAACTTCACAAGAGCGCTGAAGGAAATGAGGCAGATAAATGGACGACGACAGCGGCCAGATATATGAATAATACCGCAGCCATCATAAGTTTTTAAAAGGCGACCTAGACATGCATTGAAACAACAAGCGTGAGATGTATGAAATGTGCGGTTAGCATGAGAAATTGAGGAGTGAGAAAAATGGGGTACGAAATTGTTTTGAATTTACTTAAAAAAAATTCTCGTGTCGCATGACGCACGGGAGAAGAGTAAAACGATGCAGTTCATCATTAATTTTAGAAATTCAGATAAAGGAAAATCTATAAGAACCGAACAGACGTTTTCTAACACAAACATTCAAAAGCGATCGACAGTCGAAAAATATTCCATATTTAAATTATAAAATTAAACCAACCGAGTCTGCATTTTATTTTGCGGACATACGTGAATTTGGCACTGTTAATATAAGAAAAAACTCACGAACTTATCACTTTGGTCCCCAATGGTCGAAAATGATCTTCATAACTTCAAATAGCCCAACAAATGCGATGATGGATTCATAAACTGCGTCGATGGAAACTTATCAGGAGCTAATACAAATGAATTACAGTACTTGTAAGTTTGCCCCGCGTCATCTACGCCGAGTATCTGTCTATTCCTCTTATTTACAGAGAATATAGTACTACATACTCCTTCCTTACAGCGCAGAGGCACACCGCAGTACAGTACCAGAAAGCTGGTATTGATCTGTTGCTAATTTTCGCTGGATTCGGTTGATTACCTGTAGTGCGATGTTGCTGATATATAGCAGTTCTGAAGGTAATGCTGTGTAGCATGCTACTGTCATGTGGTCGATTGCAAACCAAGGCAGCGGAAGACTTGCTCATTTATCAAGAACTTAACGAGGCTAAAAAAAAATTACTGCTCAGCTCACGAATCAATTTGAAATTCCTGACGAAATTACAGTATTGTTATCATCAATACGAATAATACGTGATCTTTGACGAAAGCTGATTTTTTTTTAACGCAGGATAAAAAATTGGCCATCATCAATGCCTACTTTTACGCAGTTTATTATCCTCATGCGAAAAAATAGTTCTGTCAGAATGCATTGTGCAATGTGTATCGTGTTCCGTTTTAGGTTTAATCTCCTAATAAATTAAAGAGTTGATCAACAAAGAGTAAGTATATTATCATTACTTAAAAGTAAGCATGTAGGACCGTAAACTCTTGTAATCTTTTATTAAGGTATTTTATGTCCAGTCACTTGATTTCTATAACACAGGTTTTGCGCCAGTCAAAAACGTGTTTTTCTGTTCCTGGATCGTTCGTGAGCAGCTGGGCCATGCGAAGCGATTGACGTTGTTCAGAAGAATATAAAACGGTTGTCTCAGATTATTTATTCAAAACAGTTTTTGCTAGGCCTTCGGGAGAAGATAAAAATCAGGGGGGGGGGGGGGGATGTTGCAAGAGAATAATGCAGGTTTCCTGTCTCAGTTCAGCGTTAAAATGGGGATAAATCAAGTTGAACTGTTTTTTTTAATCGTCTTGTTTGTCAATCATGGGTTACAATCGGAAAAGTCTACGTCTCGGTCCATCATCCTGAATATATATATATATTATTTTAAATAAAACTTCTTTAAAGAGCTACATTTGGAATCGTTACGATGTTTTGGATGCTTTCGAATGAACATCGTCTCACTCGTCGAGGGTTGACATCCAGAGTACTACTGAACATCTCATTCTGCCTTTCATTGACCCCTAGATTCTAGAAAATTCCCAGATTTCTTCTCTCAAGGACAGCTTTTCCTTCACGACGACGAGGGTGCTTATATAAACGCGATTTTCACTGTTGGATGGAGTAGCCTCGAGCATCAGGGTCATCTTTGGATGGGACACGCCAAGGATGGGGGTGATTAGATGCGTATATATATAGGGGAGACGAGAGAATGTGTGGAATGGGTGAGTCACGAGTCACGACCGCGTCCGGGGAATCGCAAAAATGTCTTGATCACCGCTGCCCTTCATTGCCAGCAGACGCCTGGGAAATTTGTCGACATCACGAGAGCAGCTCTTTCGAGTGTGACACGCATACCATATGCGTCACATGTGGAATGCCTCATCCCTACATTGTGCATCATCCTGGCCCCTCGGATATATGTAAGATGTATAGGAAGATTGAAAAAAAGGATATGCCTGATTTTTTTGGAGTTCGAAATAAAGGGTTTGTTCAAATTCCACCTGATGTCACACAGGATTTGCGAGTGCAGCTGACATAGAATAGTTGCTTGAAACTTCCTATTGTTATTGTTCAAGAGGTAGATTGTATACAGTGGGACTCCAACATACCGATGGATTGACTTAGGTACACTTATAACTGAAAAAAGCTACCCCAGCGTGAGGACAGTGACTCAAGAGTCAAGATACAGAGAATTTTCCAATACAATTTCTTGATATTTTGATAAATTTCTAAATTTTCATATTCCATTGAAGAAATTGACTTATTTGTACAGTATTCAAAAATGTAAACAAATTCATGTAGCATAATTCATAATCAAAAACTATTTGGTTTCTTTGTTCTTTTTATAATCGTAGCATGCATGGAACTGCATGGACATATTTGAGAGAATATATAATTCATTATTTGCAATTTGAAGAGAGTAAACAATAACTTTGGAATTGACAATAATCATGCGGTGTCACGAAGTGGTCTTTCTCAAGTTAAGATGGATACCGCTTTTTGATGAATGATCGAACTTTTAAAAAACCATTCTCGTGTTTCGATTTCACAGGCAGTCCCAGGGAATTTCTTTGGACTCAAGGTCTTTGGATTCCTCAATCATTCTTCGGTTCACTTCAGAGGCTACTGCTGTTCCCTCAAGACCTTAACACAACACAATCTTTCACCAAAAAAAAAAAAGAACGGAAACGCAAAAAAAGTTCCTGTTGAGCACTGACACGTCGATAATGTGCATTCCCATTACGGAAATACTTCGAGGAGCACATAGAAATATAGGAAAGTCGCTTGTCGACCTTCGGGTGACAAAGAATTTGGGTCATTATTTCACCGAAGGGCATATTCCCAAGTGGGGGGGACCAGTACTTGGCAATCATTCTTCGGATTATAGGCGTGGGTCTGCTGAAGGAACCAGCAGGAAGGTTCTCGTTTGCGAGTGGGGCAATGAGATTATATAGACCTTGAGACGGTAATTTATCTCCCGAAAAACCACAAAAAAAAGAACAGGTTCATCGCTTCCTTAACATATTCTGCTGCGCGATAACATCTGCATCCACAATACCTTTCATCGCGTATACTCGCTATGCATTTATATTCGAAGAACCATCAAACCAGCTTTGCATTTCATGAGAACTGCAGGCCAAAAACAGCTCCCAAGTATTCGCCGCAATTTTCTTCCAGCTTCTGAAAATCTCTATATACATCTATATAGAGACAATCTGACCTTCGAGATGAGAAGCGACGAAGCACAAGACACGCTCTCTTAGTCTTGGGAATGAGTGAACCAGAAAAAATAAACCGTTGGCTCTGTAGCTTTTTGTAGCGTTTTTCTTTGCTACTTATTAAGGTCTTTTTTCCTACCTATTCGAGCACGTTGTGGATGAGTAAACAATTCCTTCATCCTTTTCGGTGGCGTGAACACGAAAAGAAACCTTGCGTCATTTTTCTATGTCTAAATGAGACATTTCCTGAGCTGCTGTGCTTGCCAAAAGAAGCATGTCTGTTGCATATGGGATATCAACGGGTCTTCTCATTTCTTATCTTCAACTTAATCTGGTCGTATCCCTTATTTCCTTATTTTATCCGAAACCAACTTCGTTTGAGAAACTTCTTTTTATTTTTCAATAGAAAGAAAGAGATGGCGCAGGAACGCTTTAGGGAGGATATGAGAAGGAAATGGGGCGACGCATTCGGTGGTGTTTTATCCCGATGGAAGAAGGAATACAATTATCTTGGACGCTTCCCATTTTTATGACGGAATTTTGATCTATCAACTATTGAAATTACTGAGCACAGAAGTTGATGAATATTTTCATGTTCAGCAAGCCAGTATTTCTGCTGAAGAATCCAAGGTTTCCATATCGGAATTATGAACATATGGGATGAAAGCTGATGGATCGATAATTACTAGGCTAATTGCTTGAGTTGCTGTAGCCACCAAATAATCATCGACACTTAAAATGAGAGATTTTGCACTCTTTTTAGGATATTCAGATCAACATTTGATTTACAAATCGAAGTTCAGTGAACCTGCTTATACGTCTTCAATTTAGAGTCGACCAAGGCATACAGTCTATAAACTGCTTTGAATCCTGGACTGTTCCACTGTTCCCATCGTTTTTGTCGTGGTAAATTGATCCGAAAAATGTATCTTCATTTTCAACCTCGGCGTTTGTTTCAACCCTTCTTTCTACCATTAAATATTAGATACACGCATTATCCAAAGAAAGAATCTATACCTGGAAATTTCAGCTGCTCGAACGAGTTGACAAATATGCATGAACGTTTCTATTGATCAAACTCTGTTGTGATGTACTGACAGACGTCACCCGAAACGTTTAAAAAATGAAAAATACAACCAAAGCGTTTCAAAAGGTATTTCCTTTTTACAATTTAAAAGAAATGTAACCATTTCTTGAAAAACATTACGCCAGAATATAATATAGGATTCATGTAAGCAGTAACGTTACTAACATACACTTTGAATTACTGTACATGATTTCTGACGAAAATATTGATAAAAAAAAGATCGTATTCAGGCTGTGTGGTTGTATTCCCTCAACTTTCAGTTGTTGTATGGATTTTCCGGCATGCATTGAATACTGTGCGCGTTTTTTTCAATCATTGAATAAAATCTATAGATGAAAATGTTTCGGGATTTCATATCTCATTCCCATCCCCAACCAGAAGTACTGTAAATATTTTATTATATAATCCTTGAATTGCTCCGTTCACGTAATCCTTATTCAAGAGTTGAGCGGAATTATTGAAGTTTAATTATATACCGGGTTTCCCAGCTAGAACGTACTACTTCAGCAAAAATCTTGTGATGAGAATTCAGCACCACAGAATTTCTCGGTTATTCAAGAATGATTCTGAATCGAAAACTTAATCTTTAAATATAACGACTATACGAAGGCATTTCGAAGGTTTCTCTCAAAATATCGCTTAAATTAACGAAGATTTCTTATTCTCCAGATTTTTCTATGCTTATGCGTTTCCCATCACACGTCTCAATTTAAGTTGCATTGATAGTTAGCGAGGATCTGGTTTCTCCGCAAATGTACATGCCACACGTTGCACCCGAGGCAGAAATGTGTCGAACCCGGGTTCCGCATACGCGCGGTGCAAAATAAACACAGAATTGATTACCCGCTCTGCTTTTATGATTAACCGGGTACATAAGGTGTCTTATTTCCGCCAGGATGCCAGGTGTTCAGGAAATAACTGTTCAAGAAACTTTTCTTCAACGTGGCCGCAGTTCTTTCCAAGGCAAAACCAGCCTTCTGCAACCTTAGACGGTTCTCAGCGAAGCATGACATCCTCGGGTGCATTATTCAGTGATACCACGTTCCCCTCGGGCCTGGGACCGAGTCCAATCCCACCCAGCAACGAGGTACGGTAGTCCTCCACATCATCGTGGGCACAAGGACTCAAACGTTTCCCGCATCCAATAACCCGATGTCCCGACCGGAAGGAACTGGGGGAACTTCAAGGATATATAGAGCAGCCGGCCAGCATCGAAAAAAAGGGATGAGACAATCAAACGAGAAACGGCTCTTAGAAATTGACCCTTCAATATTTAAAAAGTCGGGGACCAACAGAGAACGATCGAAGCACATGTGGTCGTCGTATAGTTCACGATCATGTTCTGATGAAACGATACTCAATCACTTCAGTGCTTTTTCATGTTTGCGAGATTATCTGAAGATTATGACGACGTTTTAAGATGATTGCTTCTTCGGGTGGAGTAGCATGCGTATATATAGAAGAAAAGCAGGAACACATATGAATCAATTTGCCGAAGACATTTTACATTGGACCTCGTCTCCGAGAATTTCGAAAAAAAAAATTGCGCCAAAACGAAATATGCGTCGAATGTTTTACGTTTCGGTTTAATGAGGCTCACATATTCCATTTTTCCCAAGCCTCTACTAACACTGTAGATACATAGGGTGGATCAGCAAGCAATGTTTTTATAACATATTCTTTAATCTGTACAATAAAGCTGTAAATGTAAAAAAGTGTCAAATCCAAGTTCCTTTAAAAATTTTCAGATGGTTTATTTGAAAATTGAGCATTCTTGTTGCAGTTTCGAAAATAAAACGTTTCGTGAAAGAGCGTGATTCTTTCGGAAATGCTTCTTGCAGGATTGATTAATTAGTTTAAAAACTATCGACGAAGAAAAATTGCAAATTTTTTCCCGCAAATAGCGGATAGAATTAGGGAATATGCTTTTTTTTCCTCACAAAATTCTGTTTTTCCTTGTTCATTCTCTTGACGAACAAACAAGTTATGTAACAAGTGATCTCTCAATACGAGTAGCTTACAGTCATAAAATATGAAATTTCGCACTAAGGAATTTTCACATCGAGGAAAGGTTATCCAGAGAAACGCAACACACAGTACTTCGCATCCAGCCTAAAAAAAAAATGATGTGATAACTTTAGCATGGATATGATGACATTTTAATCCTGTACGAAATGTATTTGAAATGAAATAACATGATACTCGATCCATAGATGACGATATATTCTTGAATTTAAAAAAAATTGCAGGTACACTTTATACGGATTGGGTCATACGACAGGAAAAATATGTGTAATGTGTCATAGTCAAAGCGGAATGACCTAAAAAATCTTCTCAAATGCTTGTTCAACGGGCAAGAATAAACCGTTTTTGACAAAAGAACTGCCCCGAAGGAGATTCCTGAAGCACTCTTCATTCAGGATACATTTTTTCTGACATTTTCAACAAATAAATCTGCTCACATTTATTTTTAAGCTTAAAAACATGTGTGGGCATATGCGAAAATGGAATAAAAACAGAAAGGTTCAAGCATTATCTGAATCTGACGGAAATGCTCTCGGGAACCTTCCAGGTGAAGTCCGAAGGCGGTCAAAAACTGATGTAAATAAAATCGGCTGAACTTCGAACGTGCTTTCTGGAAAAAAGATGTTGAGCTTCTCTATATAGGATCGCATATACCCCGGGTTGGTTTTGACACCGAGAGTACTTGAGAAAACACACCTCGCTCCGCAGAAGCAGCTTTTTGGAAAAATCGGATTACGAGAAGTATTCTTCCGCATTCATTGCTTTCGGAAGGTGAATTTTATTCATGATAAACATGTGTGTGTAAACCATGAGTTGAAAGACAGAAGAGACGCATCTTCTTCAATGTGACACATTAATTTGAAGTCAAGTGGAAGATAATTGCTTTCCCGGTGAGTCAAACTCATTCGCAAGGTATGGAATAAGCTGGATGTCGAGAGTCGAGATGAGTCGAGACGCGCACACGATTGTATAATTAGGAAAAACTGTCTTAAAATCCTAATTTGAAATATGTGGAAATATCGTGCATTTCATCTGGAATGCGAATGAAAAGCAAGAATTTTAGATGCATTTAAAGAGATAATCTTCGAAAGATTTTGAAAATCTTCAAATTTCCATTCAGGTCCTCCAATCGGTTCTCAAACATTTGAATTGGTTCAAGTACAGCGTATTTAGGCTTTTGATTTTCATCAAAATCATCAACCTAATGCAAATTCTCATTCTAGACAATTTTCTTGATGCGGGAAATGCAGAGATTTCTAGATAGATGGAAGCATGAATAGTGTCTGACAGAGAGAATAAATAATTCTGCAAACAATCTCTATACTGATTATCCCCAATTTACCTTCTTATTGGAGCTTAGCAATTTAGCAAAGCCTTTTTATTGTTTAAATACGGTAAAAGGCAGCAGAATTTCACGTTGATGACCGTTTGGTTGAAAAAGGAAACTATATACAGAACACTATTATTCACAGTTGTGAAAAGTGTTTTGCGGAGTGCCACTAGTGAAATGCTATTGAATGTTTTAAATAATTAAGCAATCGCTCTGCGAATTTTTATGGAAATATACAAGAGGAAGCAATATTGAACTAATTCATGGAGAAATTACACCAACCAACTAATTATAATATCTGCGTGTATTTAGACAGTTTGAACCCCGCAGTCTTTTTTTTTTTGCGGACAGAATAAGTTATTGCCCATTTCGTACTCTTTTTCTGATAATTAGCACGTATATGAAGCGCGCTTAATATTTTTATGCCTGATGCTTAAGTTCTGATTCTTTCCGGAAACTCAATAAGTTTGCCAAACGGGTCATACCGTGTCTCGTACAGAAAAACGTTCATCTGAAAATGTCTCCCACATGTTGTTCCATTTTGATGATGCTTTCCTGAAATAGATCCAGAAATGGAGAGAGAGAGAGAGAGCTCCTCACCTGTTCATGAACAATGGGATCCCACAGATGATCGACACGGCCCAAATGGTCGCCATAATCAAGCAGGCGCCTCGTTGCTGCACGCTATTCTTCGTCGGATGCAGGATAATGTAGCAGCGATCGACAGCGATGACAGTGATGCTCAGCGTAGATACGAAGATGCTCGTCGGTTCCAGTATTCCCACAAGTTTGCACGCGAATTCTCCGAGTTTCCAGTTGATCGACACGATTTCAATCAGCGTGAACGGCATCGTGATCATGCATAGTATTATGTCCGATACTGAGGAAAAAAAAATGTTGCCGCAAACTCATTTCAGACGTGCTTGAAATTTTTAAAGTAATTAACCTATCCAGCACATTTTCGGAAATAGAAACGATTCCTGTGTGTGAAAAAAATTAAAATACCCCAAAGTGCAGAAAAAACTGGCTAAACATAAATACTATATGTATTAAGGGACTTAAACACCTTTTTCATAAATTAGCAAAAAATATATAGACCCATTACGACAATTTTTTTGAAAATTGATGCATAGGAATTGAAAATCTTGAGTCAAGTTTTGAAATCGAAAAAATTTCAGGGGTTCTTAACCTTGAGCAAAAAAGAGACGTTGAAAGCTTCGATTAAAATTGAATGCGAAAACATTTATATAGAACAGGCAAAGATTCATTTCGTCGTGAAAAATGAACAAGTTCAGGAGAACTTTCAATTCCAGCCACTTTGAGCACAAAAAGGCTATATAGAAAGTCGCAATGTTCTGAAATCTTCCTCTGAATTACAGTGCGCTGCGGAAGAATAAGCTTTCAAAATTAGCTTCTCCTGCTTTATCCCATGCTTTCAGCTCTTGCTGAAACTCGCAGACGTACGAAGAAAGGTTCAAAATTTTGTTAGTATTTCAACATTATTTTGCTTAGGATCTTCTTCTGAATCATCAGAAGAAAATAATAAAAAAACTCGCAAAAATTCGGAACTATATAGAGAATTCTAATTTATTGTTATATTTATTCTATTGATATATTTCACCACGGACATTCCTATAATATTCAATAGACATTTTAGAAAAACTTGCACTGGCAGAGTCACTATGAGCTAATAAAAATATGTCAAAAAGCAAAACATTTATGAATTGAAAATTATTTTACATTTGAAAATTATCCATATCCATGCATTATTTTTAGAATTATTTTCAAATCATCCAAATTTCTTGTAGTATCTTTAATATGTAAGAAAACCCCCAGGCGTGCAATAATTCATGCGTACGATTTGTTCGGAAAGTGAACCGTATTTCATTCTTGGCATCTGCATTTCCAGCCCTCCGTTCTGTTTCCTTTTGAACATATGTGGGTAATAAGATTAGAAAGACCTGAAAATAAATTTTTTTTTAATCTTACAAATTGAGTTTTAACCCGAAAAATCACATCCACCTCCATTCAACCAAAAATAGTAGAAAAGAATAAGCCAGAGCGTCGAAAAAAAACCGCAAAAGCCTCTTACAAATTGTTCAACATAAATTCCAATATAAGATTGCCTAAGATGAGCTTAAGAAATTCCAGATCACAGACGCTTTTCAACCGAGACCTTTAAATAATTTGGTGAAGCAAAATTCAAATTTACGACAGTGGTGAGATTAACTGCTCGCAATTTATTTTTTATCATTTTTTAAAAAGAAAACGGCGGCCTTTTTCTGACCCTGCGTATTGTCCATCATAGACCCAGACGTGATGTATTGGTTCAATCTTGTCGCAATTCCTCGCGATAGAATAAAGTGGTACAGGCCATGAACAGGAAGAACGACGAAGAGGGTTATTCAATGCAGTGTACACTCTTGCACACGATTTCTTTCCATATAGAAAAAAAATCCTCGGCTTCTCGACATGATGCTCGACGAGCAAACGTTAACAGATTCCGTATTATTTCCAGAATTCCTAACATCATAATTTCTGTTTTTTTTTGTGTGTGGAAATAAATTGAATCTCTACCTTCTATACAGAGTGTTTATACCACAAACAGAGTACTCTGTACTGTATGTACAAGCACACGGTACGAGGAAGTGAACAACTATACTTCGTGTTCTATTTGTAGGCGAGGATCCATCCACAGATTGACATGAACTACTCATGTCCATTCCTCCTACTTTATCTTGACAAGGTTTCAATGGACATTTTTGTCACGAGGTCAGCGTTTAAAAATTTAAAATACGAATGCTGCGTGAGCATTTCTGATCATACCTGTGAGGCAAAATGAGATACTGAAAATTGCATGCAGTATATGATTGCATGAAAAAGTATTTCAAAATTATTTTAAGGTGGGTGCTGGATCAATAGAAACATTTATCTGCTACAGTTTCAGCCACATTATCACGTGAAGAAAAAAAATCGAATTCAAATTGCATTCAATGATCTCGAATTAGTTTATATTCGAGATGTTTCCCAGTTTTATTTTGGAAAGCAAGTAATTGACACAGAAGTATCCATACTTCAATCGTCTTGGCTTCAAATTAAATCCCCCAAGAACGACGAGTGCTCAAAAATTAGGCGAGAATTTTTTCGAAACACATTTGAATCTTTTTTTACACTTACTGTTTACATGCAAGTACGATTTTGTTTTAGCGGTGAAAATTATTGAAATTATATCCCTCGTTAAAATTAGCGCTGTCTTTTAACGCAGCGTGTGAGAGTTGAGTCAACTCAGTGGACTAACAATTTTAAATTCACGTTATTCTAAACACAGTAAAGTATTCAAATTTTACTGCGTCTGATTCTCGTTTAACGAAGCTGAGTTGAAATAAATCTGTCTAAGCCATACGAGAGGCATTCAATTTCCTGTGAGGATCCTCACTAATCCGGCTTTCATTCCGAAAGCATTGTCAAGCTCAACAGGGAAATATTGCTGCGAGCTTCGGTTTTGACGAGAACAGCTTCGTATAGTATATATACTCAGAAGTGCGTTTCTTCTTTCCAATCTAGTCTATTCTTCGCTGCTTTTTGTTTTCATTTTGTATGTCACGAATAAGAAGCCCGGAATGTAGAGAAACCGGATAAGCTGGACAATTTCGGAGGCATCAAGAGGGAGACCTTTAACGCACAGCAGTCCCATTTCCTCCAGTGAGTGATTTATACTTTTATTTTTAGATAAGTAAGCATAGTATGCCATTCTGATCGCCTTCAAATCCTGCAAAAGTTGGACAGACAAGTTCTTATTCCGCGTGACTCGTCGTTCCCGATTTCAACATCCTCGAAAACAAGAAAGAAATAAGTGGGAAAATTATGTTAATGACTGTAGAATGATGTGCGAAAATTGTTTCGAGTTTTCAAACGAACGATTTTCTTGATTTTTGCTACTTTTGAAATTTTTGGCATTCAAAACTTCCGGTACCACGTTTGTTTTTTCCTTCGCTTATTATTTTTTTAAAGCATTTTTCTCAAAAAGTACAGGGGAAGGAACGGTGAGAACCCCGTGGGAAATTTCTACTGTTGTCGTGATCCGAAACGCTTCGTCTATAGGCAGAATTGCTTTGTCAGGCTCAAAACCTTTGACGGATAGGTTCTCTTGAGAAATAAATGCAGCCGTGAAGCAAATATATTCGAAGGAGGAGTACTTTTGAGGAAATGAGAAAGTTGTGATTTTATCGTGGGCATGTGTTCCTCAGAGAATTGCTGACCTTCGTGTGCAGAATATTTGGCTCTTTATTCGCTTGAACAAACACTCAGAGCCGAACGTTATTGATGTACTGTGCTATTTTTTTTTTTAAACCTAGGAACAGCTGGAGCACTCTGGGGCATTCGTTGTGCTCAGAAGCAAATGTCATGTTCGAATGGGATTTAAATTGAGAGAACCAGAGTTTAAACCCGATTGTTTCTGCTAAATACGACCACAATGCACGTAGAAAATTGCAAAAGGGGATATATTGTATTTTCGAAACCAATCAAGTCTGCGCCACCATTTGTTTGTGGGGTTTATGGCGGTTTAACGGGTTTGGCTGTTGAAAGGGGGTTTGTGGTTTATCCAAAAAGCTAAAATCAGATGAAAATTGAGCGTAAAAGGAAATAAATGCCTTATTCTTCTTAGAAAAACGATCCTGGGAGGTGTAAATTAAATCTGGCTAATGTTCCCATGAGGTAAATTATGTCATCTTTCTGTTTGGGTTTTTTTTCTGGGAGATTTCCCGCAGAAACTAGAATCTTGTTGGCTGACTATCCAAGACACAATTAACTGGCAGGCTCATATTAGAGTTTTCAATAATTTTGGCGGTTGGCATTTTAACAGGGTTTCCAATGCTTTCATCATTAGAGAAAATTTGTTTTTCGTAATTAATTGGCGGTTGCTGAGGATAGCGGTTAATTGGGGGGCATTTTAACGAACTTTGACTGTATTACTTGAAACGATTTCATGGTAAATGGACAAATGATAGATCTGTTCTGTGAATTCTAACGTAGAAATAATTTTGAGATGCTTCCCCTTCCCTTAATTTTGTTTCTTTCATTAATTTTAATATCGAAAGAAACACTGTGGGATCTTTAGAATACTTTAATAATGCGAAAAGGATTATTCTGCTTCATTTTTATTTTTCGTTACTATGCGTAATTGTGAGATCCCGCGGTTCTGAATATATGATGAAGAGACTCGTCCTTGACTTTGTTTCAGTAATGGCTTCCTCACGACACAGTGTGTATGAGGGAAGTGTGCCTTGGTGTTCCCCATTGTGTTTCTCGTAATAGCCTTGCTGCCGCACACAACCGCTACTATGTAGTGACAACAAGACTCATTCTTTTCTGTAAAAAAAAGCCAAAAAAGTCCCAGGCTGACGAAGATCACATTTTTATTAGAAGTGTTCTCACGGCACTCGAAAAGTTCCCCGCTTGATGGCCCCGGGTTCGGCATACTGATGAACAATTTTTTCTTTGTGCTTCCCTCTCGGAGAAAGAATTTGTTGTCGAGCACCTGATTGAAAAAGTGTACAGAGCAAACTTTTTTTTTTTTACTCGGGCTATTATTTATTCACTGGCGGTATATCTTTAATTTGTGTATAAGTGGCATTCTAACTTTTTCAACATTTGCGGGGCAATTCATTCAAATAGTGCTTCAAAATGCGTTGGCTTATTTGAGGTTGACAGCACTGTGTTCGCCCATGGTGACTAAATTTAATTTTAAGGTGTTTGTAACAGCACAGACCTCACACGCTCCATTGAAAGTCTTATGACAACTGTATTTCTCGAAGGCGTTCTCACGACCGAATAAACTCGAACTGTCGTGACACAAGAGGTTGCCACTGATTTAAATTAAAATTCCGCAAACATTGTCATGCATGTCTGGGGTGTGCGAGGTAAATTTCAGAATATTGTATTTTTAGAAGTTGTGCTTCTTTTGATGCATGCACTCTTGCTAAAAAAAAATAGCTGTTCTTGAATTCGAGGACTCTCTAGGACGAAAAGCGGCTCGTTGATGCCGCTTATTTTATTTGGAAACCTTTGCGTTTGACTATATAAGTCAGTATTGTATTGCATTACCTATACATATTTAATTTTTAGCACTGATTTAAAGTTCGATAATTGCAAGCAATTTTACAGCTGGATGAATGAACAAACTGCTAGTCAAAGACTTGATTAATCAGATTAACGTATGTTCAATGATACTAACCAAGCCAGTAATGGACTGAATTACCTATTTAGATTCAATTTCAAGGACTGATTCAAATTCCGAGAAACTTGACAATAAACCGGATAAATGAACAATGACAGCTGCAAGTCGTAGATTTGGATAATCAAGTTAACCAACTATAAGATTCCAACTTCTGGGGACCAAATGCCACGTACACGTACGTGCATATAAAATTCGATTATTCAGGGAAGAAAACTTTCCAATTGATTCTTGCATTGATTTTAAGCAAATCCCATGAGGTATCCAACCTTTTTTGAAATACGTGCTGCAGAAATAAGTTCAGGAGCGAGTGATTTTCCACAACTTTTCGTGAAATTTGCAAAATCGGAAACATGCAGATTCAATGCATCTCGTCTTTGAAGAATTCTGCTGGTTTTTCTCTGGCTGATACATTTCCCATCGTATTCAGCAGAAGAAAATTTCGTAAAATAAATTTCCATATGCACGGCGCTGAAAGATTCCTGTGTGAGTAGTATTGAAAAAAAGTCTTCAATCGTAAGACTCTTATAAAAAGTCGGAAACTTTGTTCGTTTTATGTGTACGTAATAACTGCTTCGTTTACGACTATGAAAGGTGATCTTAATAAATTTTACGTCTCCTTCCTGGTTTTCTGGACATTGCTGTGTCTGCAAGGAGGTTGACTTGATACTACAGTATATGCCGCTTAACTCAACCCTAACTTGACTATAATGCAGTACCTTTTTCAACTGTAAAATATTGCATTTTTACCTCAAACATCATTTGTGAGGAAATTTTATGATTTACTCACAAAGTTGAAAGAGTTAGCTTGATGAAGACGCAGAATTTGTGAAATTGCTTGATCAAGAATCAGAAGAATTGCTCAAAAGCAGCGTGAAGCAAACACGTTAATAATCAGCCAGGCTGCGGCCAGGACTTTTGTCCTAGTATAAGTTGTTCTATTTCAATTGGAAGTTTGGGCTTTCAAGGTTTGAACCTAATTTGAATGATGACATGTGCAAAATTTCGCAGATACAAGCTTGCTCTCCTGAGATCAGCTCAGGTCATATGCAAAATGCAGACTGTGTTTAAAAAAGAAAACGAAATCTGAGAAAAGGTCAACTCTTCGGATTAGGTTTGGAGGTATAGTTTGAAATTACTCAAGGAGAACAATTTTCTTGTCTGTGTGGAGCCTGGCTCATCAAGCCAATATTTTTGTTGGAAAAAGATTAGTGCTAATACAACAATGGCGCCACTCAGACGCCAGCAACTCAAAAAAATTCCTGGCATCATTAACCTGGAAAAACCTTGATATGAACCAAATACTCTCATGTACTTCAAACAATAGGGCTTTTAAATGAGAGCGCGAATGCTGCAGCAAGAAAAAACCGCAGAGGCAAAGTTGATAAAATTACTGCTGGCATGAACAAAAATATGAACCATCTAAGTGGACTTTCTGCAACAATCTTGTCTACAACAATATTATCTGCATAGCACATAATTTTGTGTCCCAAAAGGTTCTTTCCCCATCTTACATGAGTTCTCTACAACACCATTTGTTCCACGATGAATTTTTTTTTTCTGGTCTCTTGCCTCTCGCTGTAGACAGAGTCCTATCCGCAGTTTTTGTGCTAGAATTCTTTCAGGATTCTTGGGAATTCTGCTCACCATCTGCGTAATATAACTAAGTAAGAAGTTGGATTAAATCCTCACCGGCGAGATTGAAGATGAAAAGGTTCCTGGGGGTCCTCATGGACGCTTTGCGAACCACAGCTGTGACTACTAGTCCGTTTCCGGCAGTGCCCACCAGTATGAGCGTGACGTAGGCAATTACGAGACACACATAAGCCGACCGGCTCACATTCATGTCATTCTTGTAGCTCTGGTACAGTTCCCACAAGTGCTCGACGTCAGTGTCGTTGTAGTCGGAAGCATTGGCCACAATCGAATCCGTTTCCGCTATGAGATTTAGCAAAACGTCGCTGTCGATAACCAAGTCCGACGCGTTATTGTTCGCCAGTGTATCGGACATAATTGTATTGCTGATTTTTTTTTTTTTTTTTTTTGGATGGCGCGAGAGGAAAATGATTTCGAGTCTTCACATCCAGCACTGCGTACTGAAATCTGATAATCCTGCGAAAATTATAGACGGTGCACAGGTTCAAAAGAAGTAAACTTCATTGGGTATATAAAAGTTTCGGAGTCAAAATCCTTCAACCCCCTTCGGGATCAGTAACAAAACTTGAAGAAACCCCTTGCAAAGCCGCTGAGGATTTTCTGATATTACATCTTCACCTTGGAAAACTCTTGGTTCAAGCATGGAAGTTTCAGAACAACCATGGCATTGAAAATCACGAAAATTTTCAAGGTCAGAGGTTTTTGTTCAGGCGTGGTTTTCAATTTAGTGTCATCTAGCAGATTTTTTGTGAGTAACAGATTTGGTAAACATTTCGTTGTGAGCAAATTTATCAAAAATACATACAGTACTTTTATCTTATTCTGAGATACCAAATATTGCGATGATGGTCTTGAAACGATGAAATATTATTTTTGAATATTTTACTCATATGACCATGCAGCAAGACTCAAAAAGTGAGCAAAACACCAAATAACATACTTTAGAGGGAATTCACTAAGAATCCATGATTAAAGGTTTTTACTCTTTGATATCCAAACCTTTATTTCGATTTTTTTTAAAGCAGTCTTCATAAAATCTTCCTTGTGAAAAGTCACAATAATATACCCTATTTTTATTCCTTCTTTCCCTTGAAATATTTCATACTCGTGTTTGGATTTTAATTTGCTCGCAAATTCCTCTCATTCCTTCGTACATCAGTCTTTTCAGTGTTCCTGGTACAAAATAAATTGCCTGTGAATAACTGCACATACATTCAAAGTGTCCCATTGAGTATATGTTCTTGGTCACAAATCTGCTGATTGCCTGCATTTTATTTGTTCTACTGTGCCTTCATCATCCAATAATTTGCTGGGTTTAATTAATGCCCAGCATAATCGACACAGCCGATTACTTGAACTCCTTGCGCCAATAATTAAAATGCATTTTTTGCGTGTCGAGATGTACGTTCAAGAAAATTCTTGTGAACGATAGTATCATTCGCGGAGTGAATTGCAATTTAAGCTGACAACAACTGAAGTTCATGAAGAATTGATCATGTTGGATGTGTTCCAGGGGTATTCGAGAAAAAGCTCGAAAAATAGAAGGATTGGCAAAAAAAAGGTTATTCGTATCCGTCATCGGGGAATTTATAATATTATTCATGATAAAATTTGTCACACGAATGTGCTCGGTCAATTTTTACTCTGCAAAACGAAGACGATATTATCTGTCGTGGGATTCCTGGAACATATATTAGCTATACGAAGTTGACCAGGATTCTTTTTTTAAGCAACCTGTATAAAGCTTGAAAAAAAAGGGCTGTCGAGATCCAAAGAGGGTCGGAAAGCATTCGAATGTGATATCACGAAGTTTTACGCAACCGAATAAACTCCAACTGTCGTGACACAAGCGGGTACCACTGATTTAAATTAAAATTCCACAAACATTGTCGTGTCTGGAGTGTGCGAGGTAACTTTCAGAATACTGTCTTTTTAGAAGTTTCGCTTCTTTCGATGCATGCACTCTTGCTAAAAAAAATATAGCTGAACGAAAACTTGAATTCGAGGACTCTCTAGGACGAAAAGCGGCTCGTTGATGCCGCTTATTTTATTTGGAAACCTTCGCGTTTGACTATATAAGTAAGTATTGTATTGCATTACCTAGACATATTTAATTTCTAGCACTGATTTAAAGTTCGATAATTACAGTACAAGCAATTTTACAGCTGGATGAATGAACAAACTGCTAGTCAAAGATTTGGTTAATCAGGTTAACGTTTGATCAATGATACTAGAACCAAGTCCGTAATGTATTGAATTACCTATTTAGATTCAATTTCAAGGACTGATTTAAATTCCGAGAAACTTGAAAATAAACTGGATAAATGAACAATGACAGCTGCAAGTCGTAGATTTGGATAATCAAGTTAACCAACTATAAGATCCCAACTTCTGGGGACCAAATGCCACGTATAAAATTCTATTATTCAGGGAAGAAAACTTTCCAATTGATTCTTGCATTGATTTTAACCAACTCCCATGAGGTATCCAACCTTTTTTGAAATACGTGCTGCAGAAATAAGTTCAGGAGCGAGTGATTTTCCACAACTTTTCGTGAAATTTGCAAAATCGGAAACATGCAGATTCAATGCATCTCGTCTTTGAAGAATTCTGCTGGTTTTTCTCTGGCTGATACATTTCCCATCGTATTCAGCAGAAGAAAATTTCGTAAAATAAATTTCCATATGCACGGCGCTGAAAGATTCCTGTGACTCATCATAACTTTTTTTCAGAAGTTAGCATTCTGAGAATATTTTTCAGCCTTTGAAACAAGCAAAATACACATGCATTATTGACGAAGCAAATGCTGATACTTTCCACTAGAATTATTTAAAATGATCTCCTTCCTGGTTTTCTGGACATATAGGAGGGTTGACTTGATACTACAGTATATGCCGCTTAACTCAACCCTAACTTGACTATAATGCAGTACCTTTTTCAACTGTAAAATATTGCATTTTTACCTCAAACATCATTTGTGAGGAAATTTTATGCTTTACTCACAAAGTTGAAAGAGTTAGCTTGATGAAGACGCAGAATTTGTGAAATTGCTTGATCAAGAATCAGAAGAATTGCTCAAAAGCAGCGTGAAGGAAACACGTTAATAATCAGCCGGGCTGCGGACAGAACAGTTGTCCAAGTATAAGTTGTTCTATTTCAATTTGAAGTTTGGGCTTTCAAGGTTTGAACCTAATTTGAATGATGACACGTGCAAAATTTCGCAGTTACAAGCTTGCTCTCCTGAGATCAGCTCTGTTCAAATGCAAAATGCAGACTGTGTTTAAGAAAGAAAAAATCTGAGAAAAGGTCAATTCGTTGGATTAGGTTTGGAGGTACTGTATAGTTTTAAAATACTCAAGGAGAACAATTTTCTTGTTTGTGTGGATCCTGGCTCATCAAGCCAATATTTGTGTTGGAAGAAGATGAGTGCTAATACAACAATGGCGCCACTCACACGCCAGCAACTAAAAAAAAAAATTTCCTGGCATCATTAACCTGTAAAAACCTTGATATGAACCAAATATTTTTATATGTTTCAAACTATAGGGCTTTTAAATGAGAGCGCGAATGCTGCAGCAAGAAAAAATCGCAGAGGCAAAATTGATAAAATTACTGCTTGCATGAACAAAAATATAAACAATCTAGGTGGACTTTCTGCAACAATCTCGTCTACAACAATATTATCTGCATAGCACATAATTTTGTGTCCCAAAAGGTTCTTCCCCCACCTTACATGAGAGTTCTCTACAACACCATTTGTTCCACGATGAATTTTTTTTCCTGGTCTCTTGCCTCTCGCTGTAGACAGAGTCCTATCTGCAGTTTTTGCGCTAGAATTCTCTCAGGATTCTTGGGAATTCAGCTCAACATTTGCGTAATATAACTAAGTAAGAAGTTGGATTAAATCCTCACCGGCGAGATTGAAGATGAAAAGGTTCCTGGGGGTCCTCATGGACGCTTTGCGAACCACAGCTGTGACTACCAGTCCGTTTCCGGCAGTGCCCACCAGTATGAGCGTGACGTAGGCAATTACGAGACACACATAAGCCGACCGGCTGACATTCATGTCATTCTTGTAGCTCTGGTACAGTTCCCACAAGTGCTCGACGTCAGTGTCGTTGTAGTCGGAAGCATTGGCCACAATCGAATCTGTTTCCGCTATGAGATTTAGCAAAACGTCGCTGTCGATAACCAGGTCCGACGCGTTGTTTGCCAGTGTATCGGACATGATTGTTTTGTTGATTGTTTTTTTATGGCGCGAGAGGAAAATTATTTCGAGTCTTCACATCCAGCACTGCGTACTGAAATCTGATAATCCTGCGAAAATTATAGACAATGCACAAGTTCAAAAGAAGTAAACTTCATTGGGTATATAAAAGTTTCGGAGTCAAAATCCTTCAACTCCCTTCGGGATCAGTAACAAAACTTGAAGAAACCCTTTGCAAAGCCGCTGAGGATTTTCTGATATTACATCTTCACCTTGGAAAACTCTTGGTTCAAGCATGGAAGTTTCAGAACAACCATGGCATTGAAAATCACGAAAATTTACAAGGTCAGAGGTTTTTGTTCAGGCGTGGTTTTCACTTTAGTGTCATCTAGCAGATTTTGTGTGTGTAACAGCTTTGGTAAACATTTCGTTGTCAGCAAATTTATCAAAAATACATACAGTACTTTTATGTTATTCTGGGATACCAAATATTGCGATGATGGTCTTGAAACGATGAAATATTATTTTTGAATATTTTACTCATATGACCATGCAGCAAGAATAAAAAAGTAAGCAAAACACCAAATAATATATTGTACTTTAGAGAGAATTCACTAAGAAAACTCTAGTGAAGGTGTTTCCTCTTTGATATCCAAACCTTCGCTTTTATTAAAAAAGCAGGTCTTCATAAGATCTTCTTTTTGAAATATCACTGTATACCCTATTTTTATTCCTTCGTTCTCCTGAAATATTTCATACCTGTGTTTTGATTTTGATTTGCACACAAATTCCGCTCATTTATTTTTCAAGTTTTTTCAGTGCTAGTGATACAAAATAAATTGTTCTGCACATACGTACATTCAAAAAGTCCCATTGAGTATATGTTCTTGGTCACAAATCTGATGATTGCCAGCATTTTATTTGTTCTACTGTGCCTTTATCATCCAATAATTTGCTGGGTTTCATTAATGCCCAGCATAATCGACACAGCCGATTACTTGAACTCCTTGCGCCAATAATTAAAATGCATTTTTTGCGTGTCGAGATTTACGTACAAGAAAATTCTTGTGAACGATAGTATCATTCGCGAAGAAAATTGCGATTTAAGCTGACAACTGAAGTTCATGAGCAATTGATCATGTTGGATGTGTTCCAGTGGTATTCGACAAACAGCTCGAAAAATAGAAGGATTGGCAAAAAAAGGTTATTCGTATCCGTCATCGAGGAATTTATAATATTAATCATGATAAAATTTGTCACACGAATGCGCTCGGTCAACTTTTTCTCTGCAAAAGGAAGAAGATATTATCTGTCAACCCTAAGGACCTTGTATATAATCGATATGCTTCAACTGGTCCTAAGAAAAAAATTCGTTGGACATATTTCGAACTTTTTTTTCCCGACAGCTCTAGGTTTCTCCCAGCCTTTCGTAAGCTTACACTATAAAGAAAGTATATATAAAAACCCAATCGTAAAACTCTCTTTTTTAGCTCTTAAATCTGAGCTGCTTGATACGGTTGCTGAGCGTTTCCAGGGAGAAAAAGAAAAGATCTTCCCTGCAGTAGTAACTGGTTAAGATTCATGCCAGTCGAAGCGAAAATCCTGCCCGCAATCGACAACGATGAAGACGTGGACTTCCGCCCCCCTTTTTAGAGTGGCCGAGCAGCTTGAGAACACGATCCTTTTGCCCAGCACCCGCACATTGCATCTGTTGGATGGGGTTTTTCTTTCTTTCTTTTTTGCCAGTGAATTTTTAGCTTGTTCCTTATTGTAGCCGACGATGTATTTTATTTCATTTCATTTTATTTTGCTCACGCGAACATTGTCTGTATAAATCTCTCGGCTCTGAGTCAAGTGACGCGTGACCCTGTCGTCGCCGCATCTTCGGGCCATTGCTTGCATATTTGGCAGCAGAAGTCAGAACATCGTTTTTCCACAGCGATGCGTGGCTCACTGAGACGTGGAATTTCTTTTTTTCAAATACGTATTGCTTCCACCATCATATGCATGAACTTTGGAGCTCACAAAATATTTCGGAAAATGGTCTCTGAAGGTCTTTCTCACTTCACATTTGTATAGCGGAATAAGAACTGATCCAAAAATTGTCCGATGAAAACTACGCGCCAGTTTCCAATTGTAAGTTTTGATTCTTCTTGCCATTTATCATGAGTTTAGAGAACAATTTATAAGCTTTAAATAAATTCGTTCAAAAATCTTACAGCTTGAACATGATGAAAAAAGGTCAATCAGCCACTTTTTCTGGCATCATTACCGGAAAAGGGGGGATATTTTTTTCGTCTCTATTATGCCATGTTAACCATTTTTTACAAATACGGGTTGTTTTTTCTCCGCAAGAAATTATAAATTTACAAAATTCCTTCAAACCAAATTGGCTGTGGGTTGAACTATATTTAAAAAATTAACCAACACTGCACACGCAAATTCGGAAAAATCAGGACTCGCACAGCGCACAATCCTCTATTCAGCATACGTTTCACTGGATATTCAAACAAATCTAGAAAATTCAATTTTGCGGAGGCGGTAATTTAGGAGTTTTTGTCGCCGTAAATTTGTTTGAGAATATGCAATTCGGTTGCGTGCTTGTAATATTCAGGACTTTACATTCGTGAACATGCATGGACTAAATCATACGAATTTTAAAATTATCGAATATCGAGCCTTCGAGAAATATAATTAAAAAATAATTGTTGCTCCGTTACAAGGAGCATTCTTCTTAAAATTGCACACAAGTAGATATTGTATTACAGTATATTATGAAGAAGGAATCCCAGGTCATACTCACGAACAATGAGCAACTGCGGACCTCACATGGCTTCAAATCAATTAGAAGGCTGAGATGCGACAGTAGTGACGGCTTTTTAGCTGCCTTTTTTTTCTCTTCGTTTTCTCTCCTTTACCTCGTTCTAACACGAAGAAACGCCGAAGCTACCCTTTGTCACTGACGGAGTATAAATCCCCAACTGATCATATGCGACTCGCGGTTGTGAGACGTGGTGTTGCCACAAAAACATATTCTCAAGTGCTGCGCCTGAGTGGATTAATGGCAGTCAGACCCTTGTTTTCGCAAACAACTTGTCAGCTTCAGAGTGACGGCACTTGGATTGCTTCTCTATATATGCTGACGTTTATGGGTTAAAGCCGTAAAATCGACAAAAAACTGCTCAGAAAAAAATCCTTCTATATGCTAATGAAGCATCATGAATTTTTTGCAAATTGTTAAAAGCGTGTTGAAATTTACGTTCATTTCTTAGTGAAATATCCACTCAACGATTAATCGGCACGGAAGCAAGAGGCATTTAAAAGAAAACATCGGATACCACGGCATCGTAATCCTTTCGAAAATCGTTCTGCTATTGGATTTATTTTTCATTACCTGCGTTCTTATCCTGGCCTTGGAATTTGATAGCTAATCGATCAGAAAACATGGCATTAGCTACAAGCGTTTATACGAGTACCTATAAAAAGGAATCATACGAAATCATGGTATGATTTTAAAGGCGGGATCATCACAAACTTCAACTACTGTATATACTGGGTCTCTTCAGCCTATAAACGATTCCACGAGATGCATAATATCTCTTGAATTTATACCTTCAAATCATGTGCGTTGAATGATGAGGTCAGCAATTCACTGTAAACGTTTATATTTTTATAGCTCCAATGCATATATAACTGATTTGAAGACATATGTTTTATGTTGAGGAAGGTAATGCTTCTAGTGGAATAAGAGACTAATTGGCGTCCAAATTTATTTATTACGTTATGTATTACACTATTTCCCGATGCAACCCGGAAGTTTCCGTATTTATGATGGAATCTTTGACAAAGCATGTAATAAATATGAATGTCCAACACGCGTTTTGCTTTGGATGGTTGCGCAATATATTCATTTGGTAGCGGAAATGGAGATTTTTCCCGTCTTTGACTCGGGCTCGAGAATATGCATTCTTACAGTGCACATATGGCTACGATCATGTGTTGGCAGCGAGTCAGGCTATGAATTATTCTCGGCAGTCAGTTTATTAATGATGCTGTCTCTCCAGAATTCCAACCAGAAAATGCATTTTGAATCAATAAACATGATAAGTTTATAATTCGAAATATCTGGGAATGATCAATTTTTTCGGCGCATAAGCGGTGTGTCAAGGCGTGTCGTGTCTCGTGTGTGGCGAGAAATTCAGGGGCTTAGAATTGATGGTTATTTTCTTTTGACAAACACTTTAAAGTAACAAACCCCCAGGCAAGGGCACCGTTAGCCTGGGGAACGTTACTACTAATCTAACTTAATTCTCTTCACTGCGAATACTGACCCATACATAGCAACCAGGATCCCCCATCCTCAGAAATTTTAGCGGGATCTCGGAATTTTGGATCCGCCTTTATTCTTTCACTTAGGGATGGGTTGGGATAATATTATAGATATCGGGACAGTGAAGAGAATTAAGTTAGATTAGTAGTAACGTTCCCCAGGCTAACGGTGCCCTTGCCTGGGGGTTTGTTANTTATCGCAGATGATGGGGTATGAAATCATCATCACTTGAAGGTCTTGGGAGTGATATTTAAATAAAGCTTCAAAATAATTTCGAGAGAACATTTATATATTGGATAAAATAATCGTTGATGTCACGAGAACTGACCATGAATTTTTTCTTGAAAAATATGAAATTATTCTTAAATTATCTTATTTTTCAAAGTTTTATATGTATTTTTTGCAGCTGACCTCTCTTTCTGAATACTCGACGGTAATCTGAAGCATTTCACGAAACACTCTTTCGTATATTGAATCATCCTCACAATTTCATTCAGGGTTGCACTTTTTTTAAGCGCATTTGCTGGAGTGATTTCATCACTACAAAGCAAAACACTTCCGACAAAATCTTCGCGCGATTCTCTTGTCAAATGCCATTAACGTCAGAGGCGCCTCTAAAATGTTCATCCGCTAAAAAGTTGGGGCTCGTTCGGTACTCTGAACCTGGTCGGGATACTTCAGCAGAAGAAGA